GGGGGAACCAAGAAGAAGGGCAGGGCAGACGTTGCAAAAAAAAAAAAAAAAAAAAAAAAAAAAAAAGTGCGGGGTGTGCGCGGAGCCAGGACTACCCCGGAGCGCGTGCAGGCCCGCAGGCCTGGGGCTCGCGGGCTGGAGGGAGGCCCCGGCATCCCGACCCCGCTCCCTCGCAGCCCGCGCTGGTCCAGCGTCTCCGGCGGGAGGCGGCTGGGTACCGGCGTTCGCCGTTAGTAAGCGGGCGCGGCCCAGGGTCCTCCCGGGATGCTGCCTCTGTTTTCTGCGCTCGGGTCCTTCCAGGTCGCCGAAGCGAAGGGCGCCCGGCCCGACGCTTGCTCCTTCAGCCCCGCGGGACCCGAGCGGGACTTTCTTCTGCTGGTTTAGGTTTCTCCTGAAGCCTTTGCGATGCACGGGCTCCGGGAACACCGCGGTCTATCGCGACTGGCACATTTCGTTTGCACCCAAATAGCTCCCCGATACAGTCCCACCAAAAAGCAAAGCGACGCAGGAGACGTGAAGTGGGGTGATTGTCGCTCCAAGGATGACCTTGTCACCGAACCTTTATCTCACAGCCTTAACTTTCGGGTTCTGGGCCCAGGCGGCAAACCGCAGGAGTACTCACCCGTAGCCCATCCTGCCTCCCGGGAGGACCGACACCCTCTTCCTGCCTCCTCTTTGCCGCTCGCTTTTGGCACGTAGTTGCTACTCCTTTTTCTGTCCTGGGAAACCCGCGTCAGTCTCCGAAGACACTCAGGGACCCTCGAATCTGTCCTTCGCCCTTCGGGCTTCCAGCCCCAGGGGGACCCGTTGTCTCCCGGGTCCCGGCGGGCGCCCTTAGCTCCTCTGCCCTGCGTCCCCGGGAGCCGCTCTTCACTTTGTTCCACGCTGCGCCGAGGCGTTCGAAACAACGGAGCCAAACCCAGCCCAGCAGAGACGTGGAACCCGCGAGCTTTTTACCTCTGCGCGCTCAGCACCGACCACGTCGCCGCCCCCTGCCATGGAGGAGACCAAGCCGTATCCCGGGGAGGTGGAAGAGTCTTTTCCTTTCCTTCTGCAAGCCCACTTTTGGGCCACCGCGCTTCCAGCCCAGCCCGCCGCGCGGGAGCCGGTGGAGCCGAGCTGCGGGCCGACAGGGGGCGACAAACTGTAAGCTTTTTGGCGGCGGGCTGGGAGCAGGCTGTCGCGAGCGCTGTGTGGTCCAGCAGCGGGCAGCCGGCGGCTGGAGGGGTGGTGGTGCGAGGGATGTGGGCTGTGAAATGAGGGCCGGCGGGCTCCGACACCCGAGGGAGCCGCCGGCGCAATCCTCCTAGCGTCTCCTCCAGCCCTGGAAGACCTCCGCCAAGGGGAGTGGAGAGAAGATGCCGTCCTGGGACCTGGGCTCACCTCCTTGCCCGCGCCCCGCGGTTTACTGGCATAGGTGGGGAGATGCTCCCCTGACAGGGCGATTGGGGCGAACCACCTCTCACCCAGACACCCCAGCTCTATTTGTTCTTCTCCGAGCGCGCCTGCGGGGTGGGCGGGGTGGGGAAGAAACGGCTTTCGCTGCTTCACCTTATTTTGAGGGCGCACCGGGTTGTGGATGCTGCGTTTCCCGGAATAAAACTTTTTGGTCTCCGGCGCCCGACTTGAAATTCAGACAACGAAAGTCTAGATCAGGGGCTAACAGGTTGCAAACCACCTGAAGAGAACTGAGCGAGGCGTATCCCACTGCCCGCAGCCTCCGAGGGCCCCACGTCCATCGGGCACTCAGTGCTCTGCTTGGGGCCTTTGCAGAGTTCCTGGCTTTGCCCACCTTAATCCAAACCACCTTTTCCCCTCTCTGAAACCCGACCCTGCATGGTCGTGGACGGGCCTTATCTTCCAAAGAGTCCCACCCCCAACTCTCGCCAGTGTACTGACTAACCTCTACCGGTCCCTGTGGCCTCCCTGAAGTCCCTGGAGCCCGAGGCTGCACTATGTTTTCTGTGCTGCAGGAAGGGAGAGCCCTCACTTCTTTTGAACCCGGTTTTTTTTTTTCCAAGGATAATTCTTGGAATTATCTGCCGGGGCCTGTGCACTCCCTCCCGAGAGCAGAGGAGGGAAAGGAGTCAGGGACTTGGTCTCCACTACTCCCTGCTGCGCTAGTGGGGTCTGTCTGTGCTTCCAGCAGCATCACCGTGCAGGAGCTGTGTACAGCTTTCTGCCAGCCCCCAAGCGCTTGGACTTTTGGGGCAATGGCGGCGGGGGACACTTCCTTCCTTCTGAGGAGAGCTGGGAGCATACAGGAATCCCGGGAACCAGGGCTTTTCCTAGGTTCCCTCCAAGGCCCCCCTTTCTGCTCCTACGCATTCAGCTAAATGCCCTTGGCAATTACTGGCCCCAAGCTCAGAATTCCCAGGTCCCAGTCTTCTCCTGTCAAAACCAGGAGCTTTCTCCCTTTACCTGCTCTCTCCTGAACCCCACCTCAAGGCTCCCTTTGGGACTGCCACAGTTAGTGACACAGGCTGGGAAATCTACAACTCGATGTTGATGCAGGAGAGAAGTAGAGAAAAGTGTTGATGGTTAATGCTAAGTCCAAAGAGTCCAGGGCTGTGCAAACCCCACTTACAGGAAGGCGAAAGGACCATTCAGTGGTTTAACAAAGACCCCTTGGAAGCCACAGGTGCTGGGTGAAAGGTGAGGCCACGCCCCCCCCAGCATGGACCGATGCAGGCTTCCAGCTTGGAAGACAAGGAACTGGAACGGCCTAGAGCAGGAGCTGTAGCGTTTGACCTCTGGCAGGCCACCAGGAGGCCCCTGGGGTCCGGACAGTGTGGGGTCCCTGTTCTGGGGGCAGCAGGTCAGAATCCCTTTCCGACCTGAGTCCTAGGTCATCTCTCTGAGAGAAATGAGTTCAAGTGAGTGGGCCTGTCCACAGGGAGACAGAATCTAGAATGTGCCCCCTCTCACATCACTGAAATCACACTGCTATCCCAAGGAGTAGGTAGCTGTTAAACATTGTAAAGATCTTCTGAGAGCGAAACTGGGGTGTCAGCCAGAAGTGGGGCACTCTGGAGTCATTCCATCGCAAACACTTTGGACCCGGCTGGCCAGGTGCTCTGCATTACCCTGGGCTCTCACTGCGACACCAGCACGCTGCCCGCCCGCCCGGAGTTGGGGCGCTGGCACCGCCCTTCCCCTGACCCTGCCCAGGGA